GAATCTGGCTCTCCAGACCTGCTTTCACCTGCCTCACCCAAAAGATTGTCCTTTATCTCCTGTACTGTGTTGTCTTCAGCTGTTGCAGCACACAAGGCAGGATTAAAACAGATAACAGACTCCATCCCTTCATGACTTTACAGACCTTTTCCAAGCACCTACTCTCCAGAGCCAGTTTCTCTTCTGAGACCTAGCTGGACATGTAAAGGCTCAATGGCAGTCCCACAGAGAGGCTGAAGACAAGAGGCAGGAGTCAGAACATGCAGGAAATGTCCCGCATCATACCACTCTGCAAAGCTGATGCTCTCGGCATAAAACCAACAGAGGACCCCGGCAGGCACAAAGCCTGCATCCTGCTTCCAGCTGCAGAACACAGAAATGTTCAACTGCCTCTGCGCTCACACCACTATCACATTCCTGGGAGTTTGTGTCAAGACGATTAATAACAACAACAAAAAACCCCAGTGGCAGGCCCACAGTGGAACCCCTGCAAAGCTAGTAAGGCTCTTCTGAGCAATGGCTGAGAATAACTGGAGCAGGCTCAGGTTCACAATCCTTTCTGCAGGTTCCAGGCTCCCAAAGGCTTCAGAAAGGCCACAGATCCCTGCCATTCCTGAGGGCTGAACATAGAATCACAGAATCTTAGAAAGGTTTGGATTGGAAGGGACCTTAAAGATCATCCAGTTCCAACCCCCCTGCCATGGGCAGGGACACCCTCCACTAGACCAGGTTGCTCCAAGCCTCATCCAGCCTGGCCTTGGATACTTCCAGGGATGGGGCATCCACAGCTTCTCTGGGCAACCTGTCCCAGTGCCTCACCACCCTCTCCAGGAAGAATTTCTTCTTCATATCTAATCTAAACCTCCCTGCTTTCGATTGTCTCACAAGTTTCAACATGTCTCACTTCACATTTATTCACCGTTGTGTCTGCCTGACGTGGTGGCGATTGTGCATTTTACTGCAAGGAATACTTCCAGCATTCCTTCCAGTAAAATGGCAGTGGTTTTGTGCCAGCATGTTAAAACATTTCTAGTGGTCACGCAGTGTGCACTGTAGGCTGTATCAGTTACTCAGAAAGTCTCCACACAAGTACCCCACCAGTGTTCTACTTACTTTAATCCTGTGGACAAGGGGAGCAAAGAGGAACACAAAGAGCTCCACTGTGGCCATGGAATTCTGGAAGAACTTCCTTCTGTTATTCTCCTCCTCATCATTTGTGGCACTGGGCCGGGGATGTCCTGGTGATCCCTGGTTTTCAACCTGGTGGATAAAGGCGCTGCTGCTCCCTCCCCAACTAGAGCCTCTGTCTCCTCCAAATCGGTCATTGCTGCAGTCCTGAGGGGCCTCCAGCAGCATCCAGTGAAGAGTGTGAAGGAGCTTTGTTTCAGCTACTCCAAGCTTATCCTGATGCCCTGGATGGAAAAATGCACCACAGTGTCTCACAGGTTTCCATGAATGGTACTGTTGAGGCTTTCAGAGCTGCACAGGCAACTGGGCATCCAACTTCCTGATAAGCATTTGAAAATCAAACTTCTACCATTAAAAGTACCAGCATTCTGTTTCATTATGTTTCAAACCTCCTAATTCACAAGTTTGCATTTACTTCACAGAATCTGCAGTTGAGTCCCTGAAATGTCAGTAGCAGGGCAACTGAATGCATGGACATAGGCCCTAAAAGATGCTGGCTTGGCAGTGCTGTCTGTTTGACTCTAGTGAATGAGACAAAATGCAAGCGAGCACTGCGAGGTGCTCAAGCTGTGTCTTGTTAATGCTCCCTACAGGCTTGTCTCTTGAAGCAAATCCCTGCTGAAATTAGTAAAAGACTAGTAAAGTGAGTTAGATTTGGACCTGACCCTATCCTTATTATCTGATTGACTTATCTGCTGAGAATCATACACATTGGTCTGAATAAAAAGAAATAACAAACTTGAAGATATTAAAAGTACTTGCTGTAATTGGCCACTGCAGGATGCCTTGAAAGAAATATGTATTCCTTCAAGGAACCCAGGCCTGCTGGGTGATAAGGCTTTTGCTAAAGCTAGTTCTGTTATCTCTGAAAAATAACTAACAAAATATTATTAAAGTACTTTGACTCTTCATCAAACCTTTAACTTCACTGGGGAAGCTCTCACAGGTTACCCGGCTATAAATGAGAACGGATCAAGAAAGGCAATCCACAGCATGAACTAACTGAGTTACATTCTGAGATCTAGAATGTGTTGGCACCCTGAGCATCAATCTGTCATATTTTGACTGAGAACTTCAGTAACAGAAAAACAAACTCAGATGAGCACTGACCTAGCTTGTTGCGGTTGGAGAGCAATGTAGCAGTGCAGTGCAGCACATGCGGGAGCGCAGCTTGGACAAGTTCCCAGCGAGAAATGCTCTGAATGGCTTCAGAGAGAGCTGGAGAAAGGCCATGCAGCTTGTTCTCTACCAAAACTCTTTCAAAAGACTAAAAGTGAGAATAAAGAAAAAAAAGACACTGTATATCTATTTGTGCACATACAACATTCTCTTTTATAAACCTGTAATCTCTAAGTTTTCATTACATAACTAAAGCACATCTTAGAATATTTTTCCTGAAAGATACAGGCTGTAGCTAAAGCTCACCAGACTCATGGACATACTTGGCTAAGAAATGAATGGGCCACTCAATATATTTTCTGAAATAAAAAAGAATTAAAGCAAGTATTACATTAGTAATATATCAGTACATTAGTAAGTGCCAGTATCAAGCCAGACTTACAGTTGTGCTGGGCATTAGTCTAGCATGCCAGTAATAAGTCACAGGAGCTAACGAAGCCTGTATTTGTGGAGCTGAGAGCTGGATATTCTTCTCACATATATGCTCTTTCAGTTTAGTGTAACATAAAGGGCAACCCATTAAAGGTATATGGGCCTTAGGAAATGTTTTCACACCCTGCCACAAAAAATAATCAGTGTACAAAAATTTTTGTCGAGCCATGATGTAATGGTTTTGTGAACACTTAAAAGAGCCGATGGCTCCAGCAAGTTCATTATTTCCGCTTCAAGCAACACTGAATAAGACTATCTGCCTTCGAAATCCCTAAAAAAGTTCCTTATTGCCAGTTGATTCAACCATTTTGGTAAGTACTTCTGCTGACCACATACAAAGATCTCATTATAGGTCACAAAAGCAGTTATGTTCCTGAAGTTCCTAAAGTGAAGAAATACGTTACTGCTAACGCATGTCCTTGCCACGTACCAGCTTAGCCTCCTGGCTACCTATTTCTTCACAAGCCGTTTCACCAATTTTATCAGGCTCCGGGCAAACAAGTAGCTGTTGGCATTCATGACCTAACAGATGCTTCAAACGCCCTCACTCCAGATTCATAAAGCTTATCCTTCAACACTAGTCATAGTGATTTTTTCTGTGAAATTGGAGAAGGAGGTGTGTGTGTAATAAGAACAGAATTAATTACAAAGAAGAAAAGCAAAAGGGGCAGCAGTTGTAACCTGGCTGTCCTAAATGACTGCACAATCTTGCAGGTGTGGCATGCTGAGCAGTGCTAACGTGCACTCTTCAGCATGCCCCAGCAGCTGTGCACATGTTGTTCTCCCCTCAGTCGTGGCCCCATTGCTGGGTTGGGCAGACGTGCGCTCCTCCATCGAGGACCAGGGTGCCGCACCAGTGCCGCACCATGGTGCTTTTCCAGCATGCCTGTAACAGCTCCCCTTTGGCCAGCATGGAGGCAGAGAAACACACATCTACCTGTACTTACAAGCTGAGACAGACACTCCTCAACAGCACCAGGCACAGACAAAGAGAAGGGGAGATGAACTGTACGGTTTACACAGAGGTATCTGGGGAGTATTCAGATCGGAGTCTGCTTCTAGAGGACTAGGCCTGTAGCAACGCAAATTGAACCTGAGGAAACACTGACAATCAACATCAGAGCTGCTGACAAATGTAACTGTAGAAAGTCACACTGCTCACCTATTAGAAACCCCAGGTTCTAGTCAGAAAACTCAACAGACTTTCTTCATGGAGCAATGGCTGAAACTGGAGGGCATTAGTTGCAACGTGTGGACAAAAACACCCGTTTCCTGGGGATTAGTCAAAACCAATGTGCCATGGATTAGATTGACAGCAATGCGTATTTCTTAGAACCAGGACTGGATAACGTGTACCAAGGAAAGGATGCCCCAAATCACTCTTGCAGTGTTCTGCTGGGGGTCACGTTGTCTACAGAGTGAAAGTCTCCTGCCCTTCACTCCTATCAGTCCGGGAGTGGGGGAAACAGGAAGGGATGGCCAAGGCTTGGAAAGCCTTGGCAGAAGAGGGAGCGAAATACTCATAAGGTCTCAGTATCCTGTTCCATTCAGGGCGTACAAAGTCATTGAACCACAGTAGCAGTTGAGAGCACATTAGTATAAAGATGTACATGGCCCACGTTCTGAGTACTTGGGAAACTCAAGAGGAAGCCCAGCAGTCTGCAGTTATGTCTTTAAATCAGGCATGCATTCACCTCAACATTTTGGGTTTCTGAGCCACATGAAGATTTTCCTACATGGTTAGCCACCAGATTCCCTCTGTTCTTTCCTGGCCTGAGCAGAAAGCTAAATATATTTCCATAGCACAATGACAGATTAGCTTCTGGAACAGCATATGTGATCACAAGCGCTGCATGTTGCCAGAAAAATGCTAACACAAAGGCTACTGTAAAGAAGTGCCTGAGTGTCCCCGTGTGCTACGGGCACCGGCTGGCACACAATTGCCACTGTGCATGTACTGTCAGCACAGGATCTAGTTGGCATCAGTCCCCACACGGGTAACTGTCACAAGGAGCCCAACAAGAACATGCAATTCTTTGGATAAACATTCCCGTGGGATTTGCCTGGAGTTCTCCATAAAGGTCCAGCTCAGAGCAGCTTCTGCCTACAACATACATTCAAGATGCAGCCCTGGATTAGCATTTGTTCCTGTAGGGCCTTCCTTTTGGTCTGCTACTGCTCTAACTTTCAGGACCTGTTGCAGAGAATATACAGACAGTAAGTCGAAAGACCTGATTTTTACCCCACGTGAACTAAGCCACTGCTGCTGCAGCTCAGAGGAGTTACATGCTTCAGTGAGAAGGCTGAATGAGGATGTCTGCAGTAAGTTTCCTGTAAGTCAGTCAGAAGAGAGATATTGTCATGCTCTGGGTATGTCTGGAACTGCAGCCTTGGGGCTGCTGCTTGGCTAAGAAAACAGTTACGTACTTACAGCAGGCTGGTCCGTGCCTGCAACACTCCCTGTGCCAAAGGAGGATAAAAAACATCTGCCAAGTGCTAGCAAGGGAAGTCAGTCTTACACCTTGGCTGGAGAAAGGGCAGCCCCTTTCAGCAGTGCCCTGGGTGTGTGGTGCTCAGCTCCCCCAGAGCCACTTACACAACCATTTTTCCTTTTAGCCTGGCGAGGCCGCGTGTTTTCTCTGGGAGAGGCGGTCAGGCTTCTCTGGCTGCCTTCCCACTGCTGCTGTTCTCCTTTTACCTCCTTCTCCACCAAGAACCAAAGGGACTGTCAAATGCCTTGTGACCAGGGTCAGCCTGCCCATCACTTTGCTGCTGGAATGGGAACAGGTAGCTGCCTGCAGGAGCCTAGACAAGCAGTACAGGACAGAGCAGATTCTGGCTGGGCTTTGCCATGGTTTTCTCTACAGTTTTGTACAAGTCTCATGACTTCTCCCGCTCTAAGCTCAGAGGAGATGTACCTGCAGTGAACTGCATGAGGCAACAAGAGCTCAGGCAGGCCCCTGGCCCCTGCTACACAGCCATGGCCTTGGGAAGCTCAGCACCAGATGGGCTGCAGGTCTCCTCCTAGGAAGTGGCCCTGGAGGATCTCACTTGAAAATAAAACAGAAAAACGGTAAAAGCAGTAAGCTAGGAAAGCAGGGCCCAGCGCTTAGCCTGGTGGACTATAGAAGGACCCTGGCAGAGACACAGAGAAACTGTTAGTGCTTCTTGAACCAGACTTCTGTCCTTGCAGGGACCTTACAGCCCTCTTCTTCCAAAGCTCAGGATCCATCATGGTGCAAAGCAGAGACCATCGCTAAAGTCACTTCAGTCTGACAGGAAAGAACTGCTCTGAGTAGGGAAGAGTTCCTATAAAGATCTAAAATATTAACCTAGGAATCCCAGCACAAGGGATGATCAGGATCCATTGTTTACTAAACATAGCAATAGTACAAACATTGACAAGAAATAAAACACAGTGCCAAGCACTTTACAGAAAATTCCTGTGTTCAAAACCTCAGTTTTCTGCAACCATGCCCACTAGTTAGATAAAATAAAGGTGGCCTCTTGTGCT